TAAAAACCGCCCAAAAATCGCCTTACCCGAGCTCAAAAATGGGAAAGAATTGAAAATGGGTCGAAACCCCATTTCCAGAACTTAAGTTTTGTTTCTAGGATTTTTACCTTTCGCGAATGCGGTCAGTGCCTCGCGTTCGCGAAGCACATTTTTGTGCTGCCAAAACTTTGCTCTTCGCGAACGCGAAGGCAATGTCGCGAACGCGGAGGCAATGTCGCGAACGCGAAGCCTTGCCAAATTTAGCCTTCGCAAACGCGATACACCCTACGCGAACGCGAAGCTTTAACGCTTGGTGCCCGGCCAGACCTCGCCTTCTACGCGAACGCGAACGCTTCCACGTTTTCGTGATGAATACTGCCCTCTTCCCTTCACGAACGCGTCCCCCTCTTTGCGAATGCGAAGAGTAAATTTCACCTGCCTCCAGTTTCTTCTTCGCGAACGCGAGCCACCTCTCGCGAACGTGAAGAAGGATACCAGAAGCAGATTTTTGCAGTTTTTTCCAAGTCCAAAAATGGTCCGTTAACCACCCGAAATCAACCCGAGCCCCCGGGGCTCCAAACCAAACATGCATCCAAGTCCTAAAACATCATATGAACTTGCTCGCGCGATTAAATCGCCAAAATTATACCTAGAACTACGAATCGGACACCAAATCAAAGGAAGTTTTCAAGAAAACTTTAAAACATATATTTTTACAATCGGACGTCCGATTCACGTCAAATCAACTCCGATTCTCATCAAATTTGGAAAACAAGTCATAAATATTATATTGGACCTATACCGGACTCCAAAACCAAAATACAGACCCGAGGTCAATAAATCCAACATCAGTAATTTCTTAAAACTCATTAAGATTTCAAGCTTTTAATTTTTTATCAAAATTCCATATCTCGAGCTAGGGACCTCAGAATTCGATTCCGGGCATACGCCCAAGTCCCAAATCACGATACGGACCTACCAGAATTGTCAAAATACTGATCCGAGTCTGGTTGCTCAAAATGCTGACTAAAGTCAACTTAGTTGAGTTTTAAAACTCTATTTCACATTTTAATTTATTTTTCACATGAAAACTTTTCGGAAAATTTTATGGACTGTGCACGCAAGTCGAGGAATGATAAATGGTGTCTTTAGAGATCTTAAAACACAGAATTACTTATTAAATTTAAAGATGACATTTTAGGTCATCACAGTACCCCATCTTGATGAATAATTTTTTTAAATTTTTTTTTATATAAATATTATACTAAAACAATTTTGATTTATAAAATAAAAATTTAAGCTCATGAATTTGATGAATGTTGAACCTATATAGCTAACTTAATAATTAAAGATACTCAGTCATCATTCCATATATTCAACTTAAACATAGTTCTAGTTTTATAATTTCATCACATCGGTAGCTTTGAAGATTTAAGGGCCTTAATTCTCTTTTAGAGCTATTTTCAAGTTGGGCCTTTTTGTTTTTTTGGTCATTTTTCAAGTTCATTCTATAAGACATAAACATTATCAAGTAACTAAAACAAGACAATCCTTTTTTCTCTCTCTGAGTACAAAATACAAATTATTTTATTTCTTTAATCAATAAAAATTAATAACTATATGAATTGTGTTCGACATAATAGGAAAGAATAAGTTACTACCAACAACAACAACAACAACAACTCAGTATAATCCTACTAGTGGGGTCTGAGAAGAATAGTGTGTACGCAGACCTTACCCCTACCCTGTGGTAGAGAGACTGTTTCTGATAGATCCTCGGCTCCCTCCCTCCAAGAGAACTCCCCACCTTGCTCTTGGGGTGACTCGAACTCACAACCTCTTGGTTGGAAGTGGAGGGTGCTAAAGTAAATCCAATAGCTATATTTTGAACCATAATTTGTAGGTGATTTTAAAATTCTAAATATTATAAAATAATCAAATGATAACTTTCTTTAATATAGAATCTATTTTTAGAGGTGAAAAAGTCTATCACTATTTCGGATTGTACTTATGTAATAATAATAATAATAATAATAATAATAATAATAATAATAATAATAATAACAATAATAAATATATCTCGCATATATTTCGTGTGAATTTAAAGGGCAGTATTCAAAGAATTCTCAAATATTTTTTGTTTGAACTTCATAACAATCGCATTTCATAACCTCCTTATTTTAAGCGTTATTAGTGTAATTTAAATGCATAACGAAATTTTCTTCCATAGAAAAAGACATGCTAATAGTAGAGGTGCAGAACAATCAAGATAAAATAACTAAAAATCATACAAGCAAAAGCAATAATACATATAAAAAACCAAATTTAATTTATTTCATCATAAGCTGAATCAAATTAAATAAATTTTCTACCTACGAAAGCTACTTGGAAAATCTGAGAAAACTAAAACAACTACCCTAGCTAGAATAATTATTTATTTTTATCAAATAACCTAAAGATAATAAAGAAACTATGTGATCAATAAGATATTGATCCAACACATTTTCTTCATCTTAATTAATTCTTCTCTCCTTTAGGTGGAGATAGAATTGGGGATGCATGAATGGCCATGCCTGATGAAAACCATGGATGAGGAAAGTTATTAGGCTAAACTCATATACAACTCATTCAACTTGGCTCTATTTTTTATTTTGGCACTTTATCTCAACCTTATTCCATTTTGGCCTTTCAATTCTATTTTTTATATTTTATTTTAACACAAAAGCTGAAACCAGTGCAAAAAAATATAGCGCATATGTATACACAAATCTGAGGTATAATAAATATCCAATTAAATGAAGCCGAAGCCGAAGCCGAAGCCGAAGCCGAGCGACGACGACGACGGCGCGAGGCTTGCTTTCTTCTTAACTCTTTAAGAGCTACAAGAAGAGCAATTATATATATACCCACCAAAAATCTTTTCCTCTTCCAATATGGGACAATGTCTCATTGTCAAGAGGGGAAAACTTAAAATTTTACTCAAAAATTTTATTTTCACTCCATTTCCCATTCACACTCATTAAGACTATTTCATCTTAAATAACAAAAACCTCAACAAAAGTTTATTGAGCACTCACGACTTTAAAATCCTGGATCCGCCACCGGATGCAGTACAATTCTTCCTCTTTCTCACACCATCCCATTCTTTCTTCTTTTAGATTTGAACTCATTTTCTTACATTTTCGAGTCAATCCCCCAAAAAATGCTTCTGCCATTTCCAGCCATTTTCTATCATCTTTTGAGCCACTTTTGTGCTATTTTTCAGCGATGGATTCGGCTAACTTGGAAGAAGAAAACATATTAGGTTTGAGTTTCTTCAATCCTGAAAAGAGCGGTGAAAGGCGGGCTATTGGTGGTGACGGTGAAGCACCTGGGTTTGACATTTTTCCAATCCTTTCCTTTACAGATTTGGGTTTGTTTTGTTTGCATATTTTGAGTGATTTATGTGTGTGAGATAGAGAGAGAAAAAAGAGATTAATTTTTTTGAAGAAGCCAATTACCGGAAAAAATTTGATGGTTATTCCATATTTTCCAACGAAGAAGGGATGAGGTAAGAGAGGAAGTTAACAAAAGAAAAGAACAAGAAAAGAAAAAAGAAAAATAGAGAAAAAGGGTGAGAAGCTTATTTTTCAGACTTTCACGCACTTGAAAAATGGGAGAAACAATTGTGTTGTGTTGTCATGTCAGTTTTTTATGTCTAAATGACACAGTAAATGCTTGATTAAAGTGCTCAAATATAATATATTTAAGATAGAGTGTTTAAGTGAAAAGTGTGGACAACTTTCGATGTATTCTGCCTAACTTTAACGAAGATATGGATATTGATTTATGTCAATCTTAAGTGGAAAAATGACATTATATAGCCGTTGTAAAAATAATAGTCGAAAAAATATGTAAAATATGTATATTTTTTGTATATATACATACACATTCTGTAGGTTATATATAAAAATTATACAAATTTTATACACTTTTTCGACTACCTAATATAAATAGTTTCTGCCGCGGGTTAAAAGTGATAATACCCGTCTTAAGTACGAAAGTTTACGTACAAAGAGAATTCTTAAAATGCATGCAATTTGTAGTAGATAAACAGTGAACAATTTCCCTACATCTATTCATGTGAAAAAGGTCAATTTGTTTTATTTTATTTGCTTTTAATAACATTTAATTTTTATAAAATGAGAATTTGTTTTGTAAGCAAATTCTACTATTTCTACTAGTCTATTTATATGATGAGCTTATTTGACGGGTTTTCTTTTAAATTCTTTTTCCATATTTATTCCCTATTTCTAGTTAAATCAATATTATTAATCACAACAAGTATTTTGATTACGATATGAAAAGATTTTTTTTATTCAAAAGCTTCAAAATTTTCTTATAACCGAACATTATCTGAGTTATTAGGAAAAACTCTTGTATATATAGCTATTGATTATTGGTTTTAGATTAATAAAAGAGTATCAATATATATATATGGCAAACTTCTTCTCTTAAAACTTTTTTAAAAAATTTTTATTTTTATTTTTGTGGTTGACAAAATTTATTTTAGCGGGATTGGAGTTAGATAGATATAGGTTATTTTGAATTTTTTACATCTTTATTTATCTTTTACATGGGAGTTTCTTACATCTTTATTAGTTAACTATATGACAAACAACATGCTAAAAATCCGACACCATTGATTTGATTTGATAATTAAAAAATCTGAGTCAACCCGACCTATGTACATCCCTGCAAACAGCAAATACTCAAGATGGTCAGAATTAAGGCAAAGTCCCAAGAAATCTTTAATTTTACATGTAAAAGATTTGAAAATAAATAAAACACGAGATCTTTGCATGATCAATTTTTCTGAAAATAAAAAACGAGATCTTTGCCGGGTCATTTTTTTCTATTTAAATTGTATAATGTTGTGTTGAACTATTCCAAATAAGGTCAAGGGTTGTCAAACTATTGAGCAATAGAAAATATCATAAAATAGCATATAGCAGTTTAACTCCTAAGTTCCAGAAAATCAGTAGAGGAAACATGTTAGTAATAGATATATCAATCTTAATTAGTCCTGCAATTCAATTTGAAAAAACACAAGTGTGTTTTTCCTGTATTAGATACAACAGTTCCCTAATTTCTATGCCTATACATATCAAGAGCACCATTAAATAGGTTCACCCTAAACTACAAAAGTTACAATTCCCTCCAAGATATATGTACAACAACTACGCTTCAATTCGAAACAAGTTGGAGTCGGCTATATCATATTCCCCCGAGATATCTGTACAGCATCTAAAAGAAACTGAACCAATGTACATAGCTGTGATTTTTCAGCTATAAAGCAGAGATGGATGCCACACCTTCTTCTACTTTCCGAGTATTGCATGTAGCGATAGTCAGGATTTTCATTGTTTGAAGTTGAACTTGCGTACTCTCCGATGCAGTATGCAACAATGTTACTGCAAATGTCCGAGGCTTTTGACTTTATCGTCCTATAGAACTTATGTAGTAAACCGTGACGAACATGGACTACTTGAGAAGCGCCAGTGCAAGAACGAAATAAAGTTCTCATGTTTCATTGGAATACAAGTCCGAGCAATCATTTTCGCATATAAGCTTCATGTTTGTTCAGATAACAAAACATACCATTTCGTCCAAAGGGTTTCAGCGTCATCAGTTCCTCAGTTAAAGAAGTAGGGCGACTCGAGAACTTCCCTTAAATTGAAATCACCTCTTTTTGGTAGAGGAGGAAATGTTAATGCTGGATATGACTTCTGGAAGCTTTCGAGCAACTGCAAACAAGATATCATGTATAACAGAAGAGCAGTTTGAGAAATAGAAGCGGAAGTAATATCGGGGAGCTCTTGAAAAACAGTTCAGCTAGAAAGGAAACTTCAGTTTAAAATACTTACATCTTCAAGAATAGGCAAACTGTACAGCTCCACAAACTTTTCGCGGAGTATCCTGTTCATCTGGTCGACATCACATGCATGAGTCCAGAAGGAATCATGTACCCCTACAAGATTGGGAATTTGATAAATATCCTCAATTTAAAAGAAAAAATTGTATCAAACAAGACCAATACTTGAAAAAATAGCAAGTAAATGAACTCTAACCCAAGTTTTAAAAATAGTTCAGAAACTTGAGCGATAGCTCTAATGAAGCCAGAAAAAAGCAACCAACGTTAAAACTTACACATTTCTCTCGGGCAAAGCAAACTCAACATCAAGATATTTCTGAAACAAAAGTCCCACCCTACTGAAGTTTACTGAAAACGAAATCTTTCTTCACTTGAAGGACTCAAATTTAGGAAACCGTTTCACTAAATTGTTTCACAATTGAGTTTTGGAAGCACAATTTCAACTTCTGTATGTTGTATGTAGGAATGCATAATTTTCATATAAGTGGTCAAAAGCTCAACTATATATTAGTTATTATTAGAAAGAAAGGGCAGCAAACCTGCAAATTGTAGTCCAGCATCCCTACAAGCAACAGCAGTCATCATCATATGCGAACCATCAAGTGAGTGCACGAAATTTGGAGGAAAAGCAGTTCTCTGTTTCCTGACCTCAACCTAGGGTTCAACGTAGCAATAAAATATGCATCACACTTAAATATGGAATCTTAACAAAGAAAGAAAACACATTCATAAGAAGTATTACTTACTGCATCACCCTCGCGCTGCAAAGCCAAAATTTGAAGAGAAGTTCTTATCTGCACATGTACGGAGTAAAGTATTAGCACGAATAAAGACGTTGCATGAGTGACGTGAAATTCATGGCCTATTTTTCTGAAGAGGACAGAAGGAGAAACTTGCAAATACTTCGCCTGTCGAACAGAAAAAGTTTTGTATCTTCATTCAAGGCATATCATGCAGTTGAAAAAGGATCATTATGTAAGCCAATTTCTTATGTCACGCGAATTATTCAGTCATGCCTCCTCTCTGATTTACACAAAATCTTATGAAGCAAACTCCTACTATTTTAACCGTTAAAATGGGCGACTTTATTAGTGGTGATAACATGTTAATCAATTTGCAAAACAATATAAGAACCCCCTCGAATTAAAAAAAATAAAAATAAAAAACTTGTCAAGGGACAGACTTGGAACTTGATTAAAAACACACTTACAACATGCCGCTGAGTTTTAAAGTAAGGCTGCACAACAGGGAGCCCCAGTGGTGTCGTCCATCGCACTGGCTGATTTTCTAAAGCAATCACCTGTTAAATGTCACTAGTTAAACTTTTGAAGTTAAACCAAACAAGGTTTGACATTACCCTATTAGTAGTTAGTAGTATTATCCAATAATAATATTAAATAGCTAAATAAACTGAAAACAAAGAGAGCTAGATAGTCAAGAAAATTCTTCTAAAAAGGAATTAGGGGAGGGGGGAGGGTGCATGGTAGGTGCAAGTGGTATGGACCTTAGCACAGTCACCAAGCCAAGTCATTGTGCCACGTGCCGCTTGAAATAACTCCCCCAAAGCAGCTAATGTCACCTGAGGAGAAGCACGTGGACAAATATATAGTCAAAACATAAAGCTGAATCAGTTAGTCTTCTTTACACTACCAATGGTTTGGTTAGTCCTGTAACAGCCTTGGCAAAAGCTTTTAGGAAAATTTTCTTCCTTTTTTTTTCTTTGGATAAAGTAAGGTCTTACGGCAAATTTTTCATGGTCAATGGTATGGGTGAAAAAGATTAAAACACCATGATATCCCGTTAATGAAGGCAAGACACTTAGGAAAAGGTCTATCTCGTCTTACGGATTCAGTCATGTGAAAATTAGCGATGTCCATACGAGGTATGTGTTGATTAAATCAGTAGCAACAATTTATTAGAGAAGCAAAACAAGTAGATTCAGTGACGTAAATTAAGAAACCAGCGAGTAGCTTCCTATAGTATTAGATAATCCGTGCTTACTTTAGCAGCATAGCAAGATGCAGTAAATAGCAGCCTATCATCATCGATAAGACCCTTCTCCTCCAATCTTCTTTTGATTTGCTCACGTGCTCCGACATAGGTAACACCATACACTGAGGTCATTACTGTCTGCTTCACCAATTTCCTGTCAACCTGAAAGTCTCGACAGCACCAAATATATTTAATTGGTATAATTTAAAAAACTAGAAGCAACAAGCCAAGAAACCTGAAGTTAAAAGAGAGATGATAATGATAATAAGATAGAAAGACAGATAACCAAATGAAAACCTGGTCAATTAGGAGTTTGGCTAGTAAAGCATTAGGATCAATTGCAGGGTCCTTGATACTATCTCCTCTGATAATATGATCAACCCTGTAATCAATAGTTGTTTTCAACAATCATTAGAGGAAAGAAAATACGAAAAAAATCACGAATATATAGGTGGTTTAATATGATCACGATTACTTTGTTTGTTATATTCATTTTTCTTTCTGGGGTAGATAACTGTAACACAGTTGATACAGGTTATGACAATAAAAATATAAATAATGAATGCTAAAAAGTTGTAGCCTTCCGAAAAATCATATGCTCCACATGCAGTCAATAGATCCATCGGTCAAAATATCAAAACAAAAACTTAACTTAAATTCCACAAAAGGGAGCTTAGTTTTGAGCTATAACTTAAGAATGGATTTTAATCAGTCTAATATACCTCAGAGCAATTTCAGTATAAACATCAGCTGGTTTCTCTCCAGCAACTAAGTTGACGGCTGCGGCCTCCATCTGTTAAAAATCGCACAACCTCAGAACATGGCATAAAGAGTAACTCTAGCATATAAGAATACTTGCAAAGAAGATAAACATCATTGAACAAGCTAAAGTTCACTAATCAGAAGAAAAAGGAGTCAACATAGGTTAGAAAATCACAAAGACGAAATAGAAAAGCACACATACGCTATCTCTCCCCAGAGCAGCATAGTGCTGTAGGCCATTGCATGAACCATCCTACAGCAGAATGAAGAGAAAGTTGTTAACATGAACAAAATAGAGATGTTAAATAAGTTTAAAGCAAGCAAAAGTCACACCAGAAACAAAAAACAAAAGAAGAATGTCAATTTTCTGCTGAGTCAAAGTAATCATTGCGCACAGCATACTCTTTCCCCATATACTGTTTCAAAAGTCAATGAGAACAAAACAAAGCTTGAAACTTTGAGTCAATGTTGGAAACTAAAAGAGAAGGTAAATGTTCTTCTATCAGATCATTTTCAAGATAGAAATGTTTCAACTTTATTTTACTTATCTTTATTTTGTTCACAGATTAACTTTTTTACATTCTTTAACCACCAAACCAGTCAGATAAAATGTAGTTGAACAGAAGACAAAAAATGTAAAGATGTAAGTATTCTACCTGATGAATAGGCAGATGGGAGATGACAGTATGTGGTGACGAGCTTTTTAAAGCTTCTGATAGGTTGATGCAAGCTGCTAAGCACTGAAAAGGATCCTCAGCATTTAACCACCATCGATTTCCATTTAGAGGATTGTTTGCTGAATCTAATATGTCATGAATGTGGTTTTCTACAAATGCAAGGCGTGCATCGTAGCAGAGCTTCTCTACCCCCCCTGCATAAAGACTTGCTAAATGTATTTTCAGCCAACGCAATCCTGACTTTCCTAGTGGTCGTCCTTCCGCAAATTCAAGGATTCCTCGACAGAGATCAGAGCTCAAGTGATTCAAATGAGGATGCATAGGGTATGCACGTCCTCGAAAATCAAGATTGTGAGGATAATAAAATCCTTCCTCATCTTTCAATTTCCGAGCAACCTAGTCCAAAGAAAGCCTGCTCAAAATTTACTCCTAAATAAACAAGCAAAAACAAAGTAAGAAGATTTCCAAAAAAGTAGACTAACTGAAAGCTTGAGCTCTGTGTCACATCTTTGGGAATGCAACTCTTGGTTGATTTTCTTGGATTTTCTCACTTTCCATTTCCACTTTTTCACTTCCATTATATCATCGGAGTTGCTCAACTCCGGTATGGGAACCTACAAATAAACAATTTCTTGCAATGAAACACTACCTACAAAGGACACCTGGTATTTGAAATGGCATTACCACCTGAATTTCTTTACAGAAACCATCATATCAACAGCTAAGAGAACTGAATATATTAAGCAGAATAGATAACACGCTAAGCATATGAAACTTATGAAGTGAAGAATAACTTTTTTGGATACTTATACGGGACAGAAATTTCCAGATAAACTTTTAGACTCAGCCACATAAGATTAAATGGAATTTTAGCATATTGGTATTGACAAATATTGTAATTCGTGCTGTATCTCCTCATAAGACGGTAAAACAAAATTCAGATACTTATAACTAGAACCTAAAAAACAAACAAAAACAGTTTTTCTCATTTTTTGATAAAGTAGCATCAGAAGTGTTTCTTACATCTTTGCGATCCACTAGGCCAGCAATATTTCCTCCTCCAGCCCAAATACTCTCAACCACATTTAGTATCCTTTTATTCACTCTCCATTTAGTGCTTCCTAAGGTATCCAAGGCCTGCATATGAGTGCGGAAAAAATTAATACACAGGTCAAAAAGCGCTGTCTATTAGAGCACAATCTGAAGCAGGTTAATTATCAGCAGCCCCAAGATGGATTTAGTGAATCACTGTTGGAACTACGATGAACAAATTTTACAATTAAATAAGAGAATGAAAAGAGTCAATTCAGTTGAGCACAACTCGCAGCATTACTTTGCACAACTCGGTTGGAGCACTAAGAATCAAACTGTCACCTCATAAACTTGCTGCATTTGTTTCGTGGGAACACCTCTTACAGCATCTTGTTGCCTCCTAGATCCATGAGTGCGCATCAAATAGGAGGGCAAGAATAAGTATCCGCCTTTGTCATACCTGAGATAAATATTGCCAGATAGTTAAGTCCCGATAACATTTCTCTTGAATGCGACCTGATCATGTTCTAAGACAGATAAAACCTCTTAACTACAACTAAAACCTAAACAAAGGATCACGGAGACATTATCGCTAAAAGCTGAAAAAGAATTATACCCTCTCCATTTTTTGGGTGGCACCAACATAGGCACATAAGGAATCATCATCTGTTTCACCTGCAATAAGTAAATATTAGAAACCTGAAGCACAATGTCACATCATTAAAGGCATAATAGTCATTAAACTGCCAAGTAATCTCTGATTTTTCTTTATTCGGCAGACCTAAATAAGAAATTCTTTGTTCTTTCTCCCTGGCAGCTGCACAGTAAACTTGTATTTTTCGCTTTTGTAAATTTTTTAAGCTCCTAGGAAATGGATGTAAAGGTGGCGGTATACAGCAAATAAAATAAATCCAACAAGCCTGATGTGACACCAGCATTCATTTTCATGCAACAAGGGCAATATCGTAGTTTCAAGTCAAATTCATCTTTCCACACAAGTTATGTTATTTTTTAGTTCAAACCCCTTTGACTGGCAAAGAGAACATATGCTATCACTTTAACAAGTAAAAGAAACAGAATCCAGCAAGACCTTCTAGCTTATATACAACCAAAAGGGCTGCAGTACGACTCCTATTTTGAAGGGTGGCTAAAGTTATACTATAAAATAAACTAACCGAATACTTATAGAGTCAGTGAAATATGGATATGATAAAAACAAAAGAAGTGTGAAAAACTTACTGTTCTGTCAACTCCCGCAACAACCAATGGATCACATTCAATGACACCATACTTCTTGACAATGTTCTTCCTACAAGAACAACAAACAATTTTGTGAAAGGAAAAATAAGACATGAGTCTTCTATCTGGAAGCCAACACCTAGGAGCATGCATTTTTTAAATAAATAAAGAAACTATTAGAAAAGGAAGACGTTCTGACCCCGGATCTCTTGTAGCAATTTTGAATACGTGCCTGAACGCAGGCCTAATATCAGGAGGAGTATCAGCAGACTGATCCACTGGACGTTGCACATAAGCTGTTTCTGTTAATAATTCTAAAAGCCGGCATCCTAACTGCATGAGATTAAGAGAAGCAGCCACTAAGATAAGATTTTTACCTAAAATGTCAGCCATTAGTAGCTCTCATAGAGAACAAAGTTGCTAAATAACAAACCTTAGCCTGTGTATCCCGACCCCAAGACTCGGGTTCTTCACTTTTCATCAGCTTTCTCACCTCAACTACTCGATTCCTTTTAATCAAGCTTTTGACCCGTTTCCTTAGAATCATTGTCTCCCTACTCATATCTTCTTGACTTTGAGCTCCAGTCATATGTTTCTGGAGTTTCTTTGTTTTCTCCAAGAAATTATGAATCCTAACCTGAGAAATATCATTAATGCAGTCAATTTCAAATCACTGGCATACCATTGTTTTAAAGTGAAAAGGAAATATTGCCCCCCACCACCACCACCACCCATAATAGCACTTAGTACTCCAAACAACTAGACAGTTCTTGGCTATGTTAATTCCCTAAAGAGGTAAATACTATTTAAAGAGTTTGGCACGATAAGACACGGTTTAATTTGTACAAAACTAGCTAATAAGAAGCAAATCAAGGAGTTAGAGGGAAGCACATACGTTAAAAAGAAATGGTTTTGGCAGGATTCCTAGCATTGAGCAGCGCAACTTGAGCCACTCAACACCTTCATAACCAACTGAAAGGTGAACGGAGGGCCATTAAAGTAACAGGCGATAAATTTTAATCAGAAACGACAGATACTTCCAGCCTTTCTTATTCATATAATTACTGGATGATGATGTATTCGAGTTGTGAAAAGCATCTCTTTAGTTACTTTTACAGCATACTTCCATTACAAAACATTTCGTAAAGCACATCATTTAGATGCATAATATAACATAAAGTCAGATGCACAACATAACACAAAGTCACAAGAGAGCAACAAACAGGACCAACATTTAAAAAATGCAACACTCACTTCATTCTCGACTGCCATGCCAATCTGCACCGCAGCTTGGACGACCTGAACACATCTCTCTTCTTTACCACCCATCATCAACAATCCCATCAACTTATGCATCACAATCACAGCCATTTTATCAGCAGGTAAAGAATCAATATGTGGCGCAAACGCCGCCCTATGTTTCACGGTCGTCTCAGCGTTCTGCTCCTTCTCTATAGCTTGTCTCAATGGCTCAAACCAACCCAATAACAGCTTTTTAACATAAGGCAAATTGGGTGCTAGTTTCTTCTCACACATTTCCCTCTCCAACTCCCTATATTCCTCCACCATTTGCTCCCAAGCCTCAGTTTCCGCCTTTATTTGTCTCCTCCTCAACATAGCATACCTTCTCCTTCTCTCAATTTCCCTAAATTCCCTTCTCACCCCTTGAACCTGATGAAAATCATATACTATATAAGTAAACGAACACAAAAACAAATCAATGATCTATTTAATGCAAATCTTTATTAAATTGAATAAACAACCGTTTAGAATAAATACTACTCCCTCCATCCCATTTTATGTGACAGAGCACGGAGTTTAAGATAGATAGACTTTTGAAGCTTGTGGTCTAAAACAAGACATACATAACTGTGTGGCCATAAATAATCTCATTATACAACAATAACAAACCCAGTGTAATCCCACAGGTGGAGTCTGGGGATGGTAGGGTGTACGCAACCTTACCCCTACCTTGCGAAGGTAGAGATATTGTTTCCTATAGACCCTCGGCTCAAGTAAAGCACAGTCATAAATCATCTCATTATAGGTAAATTATATTTGTGTAGCTATAAATCATCTCATTAAAGGTAAAACGAGAAGTTTAAAGTTAAATAATTTCTAAATGTATCACAATATCATTCTTTTTTTGGACAAACTAAACTCAAAGTGCATCACACAAATTGAGACGAAAGAAATATATCTAAATGCATAGTTAGTACTAGTATCTATCTAAACAGTACCTATCTGGCTCTAACAAACGAACTATTCATAAAAATAGCACGATAGAGACATTTGTGTGGCTATATTTTATCTCAATAAGGATAAAATGAGAATTTTAATGTTAAATTGTTTCTAAATATAGAAAGGTTGACATTTTTGGAACGTACTAAACAGGAAATTGTGACACATAAATTGGTACAAAGGGAGCATATCTAAAAGCGTGGTTAATAGAATATATCGGAACAGTACCTGTTTAGCTCTAACAAACAAACTATTCATAAAAAGTGAAGAAACCCAAGGTGGGTCTTGAATAAAAACTCTCTTATTTGATTCTTTATTCAAAAACCCATTTGGGATTTTCTGCAAATTCACCAATTCTTCAAGATTCTCATCAGTGGATACACACACTGTTGTTTGGGACTGAATATTATTAATTGGCATATGAATTACAGGTAATTTAAGAGTTTTGGGAAATGAAGAAGTGGAAAGTGATGAACTTTGGGATAATTTTCCAAATTCTTGATTGTGAATGACATAAAAATTGAATCTTTTTGGGAGTTTTTGAGTTCTCCATTGAGATGTTGGACTTGGAGAGTAAGAAGCTGTGGAAGCCAGCTTTAATGATGGTTTTGGGGGGGGGGGGGGGGGGGGTTT